AAAAATATTATATGGAATTCAACGAAAATGAAAATTTGCTTGATAATTCAACTACGCTTGTTGGAGAACAATAAAAACACTACACTCAACAAGCCACCAATAAAACTCAACTGCCTAACCTATAACCAAAGTCTCCTTTTAATTTGTTTTTTTTTTAAAAAAGCGCTTGACAAACTTGCCCCGCATGCCGAAGTTGCCCCGGTCTCCCCTATAGGTTATGTAGTGATCAAATCATTCCAGGCAATCTACACTAATGACATGAAGCAATACTTATTAAAAACAAGCAATGAAGGTGTGCATAGTTTTTCTGCTCGACATTCAATGAGTACTGTAGAAAATTCTTGTTTAAGAGACAGACAGTACAGTACGCTTGGGTATGTACTTACAATTAGATCGAAAAGTAAATTAAGCAACGGAATAAAGTAATAAATTAGTACAGTGCGAAAGAAAGAAAAAAAGAAAAAAAGAAATAATGAATGAATGAATGTTTGATATAAAATAATTCTATGATAAATACACGTAAATATACACAATACTATACTCAGATGTTTTCCAATTTTTGAAATTTACGCTTTACCTAACTGCGTGTTACGTAACTCAAATTATTACTGCACTTTAAACATCTATAGAATAAATTTAGGCAATAATTAAATCTAGAAATTTCAGTAATTTTGTGAACTAACTTTATAAAGTTTAAATTACAATTCATATATGATTCAACTTTACTATTTAAATTTGGCGGTTTTAGTAAGACTTTACGGAAAAAAAATAATTCAAAATATACGTGAGCCATGAAAAAAGTAAAGTTCCGTGGTATTTGTTAATTTACACACAAACGCACACAAAAATACTATGATTAATTTTATAGTAACATAACTATCAATTTACAAAACAAATTTGTTCATGATATTCGCTATTTGATACTGAAATTTCTTAGTTAAATATTATTACATTCTACGTTTAAACATTTACCTCTTTGTAACTGGATGTAGAATTTCGCTGAGAGTTTGCTGGGCATTCTTTTGAAGTTGTATTATACATGCTGAAGATGGCTGAATGATTAAGCATGCCTAAAATAGCGACTTTCAGCACAGCTCTTTGGCAGTGCATTATTGTATATATCCAAAATATAGAGAATACCAATACGTAACGAGCGGGAATATAAACTGAAAAGAAAATTGTTGCAAAAATTTAAACAAATTTAAAAGTATAAATGTTTAAGTAAAGATTATTTAGAATACTTACATATAATTTACAGTTTACGTTATATATCTAATAGCAGATAAGGCCGGCGTTGCTCGGGCATAAAGTAACAATAGCGAAGATTAAGCTTATTACATTACAGCCAATTTCACCCGTTTTCACAGAATACAAGAATTATGTCCCTTCGTTTCCAGATTAATTAAAAGATTTTAGATGGGTCTAAAAATATGTTCGATTTCTCGCAAAGACGCAGTAAATTGCATCTGCGCCTGCAAATCTTGCACGTAGCTTTCTCTTAACATTTCTGTTGTTTTATTGGAAAGATGTTAAAGTACAATTCAAACATTTCACAGTACATAAAAGAAAACATATTCAACATGAAGTATGAAAAAATTGTGAACAGAACAAGCTCACTACTGAAGAAGAAAAAAACATTTTTACGAACTGCGAACTAAATTCCTATTAAACGGCTATCCACAATGAATAATAAATAACTGGGAAAGTAAAATCAACAATAAAAAGCAGGAAAATAAACGAAACAAAGATAAAAACAGAGTAAAATACATATTCTTCCCCTAGATTCGTGACTTCTTTGAACAGATAGATAAAAGTTTCGATAAAATAAATGTAAAACTTGCTCCAACTTATAACTACTTGAAAAAAAATCCGGAAGGCTAAACCTGGCATAAATAAACAACCAAATAAATACTACACTACTGATGTCGATTATAAAATACCTTACACATGAGAACGCACAGTGTACCACAGTGTACCAGTGCACAGCTCCAATGTATACCAAACGTATACATTGGAGAAACAAAACGAAGATTAGGAACAAGATTAACCCGTCGGCACGCGCCTAGTGCCGATTAGGCACCAATCGATTTTTAATTAGTTCGTGTAAAAATTCTAATTGTGTGAAAAATCTGAAAAAATTATTACCTGTCTAATTTTTCTTCAATTTTACGATGCGCAATTCAGTTTTTGCTTAAAGCGTCTCATTATTTTTATTTAATTATTGGTGCCGAATCGGCACTATGGCGCGCGTGATCTCGGATTTCAATTTTCAAATTTCCCGCCAGTCGCTGTTACTAAAAATAGCTGCAGCTACGGCGCGCGCTTCTTCGCTTATAATCGCGTTATTATAAAGCGAATAACTTCTAAAAAACTGAAATTTGACCGAAAATAATTTAATTTCTTTCATTGGTATTTTTTAATCATTTTATAAAGTTTTATGACACCATCACATTTCCCTGAGTGGAAGT